TATGGGTTGGCTTTAGGCCAGGCTCTGCGGGAACGGTTTTTCACGTGATCCTTGGCAAGGCTGCTTACTGCCCCTCAACCAGGAGACTCATAATACCTCTACCCATCCATGATGGCACTGTTCATTGCTCGTTGTTGAAGGCCCAATTGGGATTTTACGCACCGGGAGTCTACATGTGGATGCCATCACTATCGATTCTGTGACAGTCCAGGAAGATATCATCCAGCGATTCAGCCCCAGTGATGGTGGAGCTGCAGGGGAAATTGGCCCGTTGCTATTTTAGGGCCCGTGCTTCCCAATCCAGATCAGCCTTCGATCCCGGTGTTGGATGGGTTTGATAGTAGAGAATTTCAATCATATTGATGGCAGTGAGTCGATCGATGAAGCCGAAGACGATCCATTATGATCATGGATCACAGGAGCAGATTCCCAGTTGGGGATAGTGGGGCAGCAGGACTGGCATTGCCAGACGCGTGGACTTGTCTTGGGATTACGCCGATCAGTAGGAGGAGTGAATGGGCTGGACCCTGGCGCTACGGAGTAGAATGAACGAAATCATGATAGGGGAGGAGTAGGGGAGAAAAGACTGACATGGTTACATACTAGTCCCGGTGCTGACGTGCGTGAGAGAGCGGGAAAAGATTGATGATGGCCAGATTGCAACCCTCGGATCCATGGGCCAGAACAACTTTCATTTCTCTTGCGCTTCGTTCTAACGCTTCTTTTGCTTGCTTGCTTGCTTGCTTGCTTGACGCAAACCCCCCATCTTCGAGACCACGCTTGGCATCTTGCTTTTCCCCTTGCTCTTAGTCTTATCTTCTTGATTCCTCCTTCTCTGCCTCGTCTTCATTTCTCCTCTTCCTCTTCCTCCTCTTCCTCCTTCAAGGTTCTATTCTTCCACCCCCTCTTTCCCCTCCTTCTCCTTCTCCTCCCCCTTTTGTGTGCTTCTCCTATCCCCCCAGGATCCCCAGATCGGAAGGAGAAATACGCATCATAGAAAAGAAAGAGAAAGAAAAAACACCTACTCAGCGAAAGTCTTGACGTCTCCACTTGCTACCCGTGCGGGATTGCCCCAGCCATTCTCCTCTTTTCTTGTTCTTCTCCGTCTCCGAAACACCCAAGCCCGAAAGCTCTTGGCCACACTGGGTCTCGTCTCCTCCGTCACTTTTCCCTCCACGCGTTCTCTTTTTTCCAAGTTCCTCTCCCCTCTCCTGCTCTCCTGTCGACCTAACCTGTCGTCGCGTGGTTCCAATCCAAATAATGATTCCTATGTGCTGCATGAAATAAACGACTGGTCCATGTAAGAATGGCTATGCGACTTGCAGACTCATGATTGTCTGATTCGGAATGGTACACTTCTCCGCTGAGACGGGGCTCAAGGCCTCTGTGGGGTGAGTACAGTACTTCACGCCTTCCCCCCCCCCCCCGATTTTCCTCCTCCCTCCTGGGTTTTGTGCGTACTAATTTAATGTACAATAGAATCTTTCTGCTCAGCTGCACATTTCTTGCAACTTCTTACAACACTACTTTCGCTTTCGGTCCGTCATGTCCATTAAATAGAGAAATGCCTATACTTGGATCTCTCGGGGCGCATAGTAGCCACGGCCCGGCTCGCTAACACTTTCCTCAGATCATCCCCTCAACACCGCGGTGATAACATGTCTCGTCGCTGCTTTCTCCCTTCTGATACTAAGTCGCTTCATCAATCGAATCCCAAGCCCGTCGTCCTCTGTGCACAAGTACAGCGTCATCCCTCTGACAGAGCGCGAACAAGCGATCGACGAACCTTCGTCGCCGATTAGCCTAGAGAGCAGCAGTAGCAGTATCACTCCTTCGAAAACGCGCAACCCGGCCCGATGGTTCAAACTCGGCCTAGTTTCCGCGCTTGGCTGCGCCCGCGTTGGCCTGTATCGACAGATAACTGCAAACATTGAATGCGCGCCGGATGGCTACGCGGTACGTGCGCCCGCACACAGAGCAGAGTCAGACGCCAGGACTAACAGCAATGTCTTGTTTTTAGTATGCGATCCCCTTCTTCATTGCTATTTATGACTACTGGCGCAACCAACGGGGCCGATCAGCTACGAAATGGACCGCTCCTGACGGCCCACAAAATGCGCAACTTCGCACCATAGCGACTATTGCCAGTCGCATTCACTACTTCGTCTTTCGCAGTCAACTACGGTATGTTGCGTCAGCGGCTAGTTTGTTGGCAAGCGGATATCTGGCCGTGGCATTCGATAAAGGGCGCGAATCGACGTACATCTGCGCCACTGTTTCAGGCCAGTATCCGCGCCTACACACTTTGCGAGTTTTGAGCGCCATCTTAGATTCTATGATTCTGATTGGTGCTGCGGAGCTGTCTAATGAAGGAGCGCGACCTCGCGACGGCAGGAGGAAACAGACTTTGGTGTCCTGGGGGTTCAGTTTACTCGTGAGTCACACATATTACCGTCTGTGGATATAGGAGTCTGACCATAGCGAACTTCAAGGGTGTGGCTGTTTTCTGGGGTGCTATTATAGCCTATCTTACTATCAGGTCCCATGGCAGCGAGGATTTTGTCAACCCTCACTTCCTGCGAAGTGCTTTAGGCCAGGGTGCGCTGGTGGCTTGTGTCATAGTCTCAGCATCTCAGCTAGTGAGTTTGTCGCATCGGGCCGCGCAGTACGGACTTGCTAACTTGGTCAGATCCCTCACTATGGTGTCGTCGGGCTCTCAGTCCTGGCCGGCTTTGTCTCCTTGTATTACACCTGGACTGCAACATTTTTCGACGGACATCAGCCATTCCCACTCGTCACTGCACCTCGCGCTTTCGCCGCTATACTCTTGAACTACCTCGGGGGCTTGTCGTTTCTATACGCGCGAACGGTCTCGGAAGAGGAACCGCAGTTTCTTTATAGGTTTAATATCACCTTGCGCGTTGCCTTGACCGTAATGGCAGGGATTGGCTTTATTTTTGTGACTCAGCAAGGCAGTGTCGCCCATCTGCATCCGATTGATTTGCTCATCTATGAGGGCAGGCAGCACCATGACAAATGGCTTCATAGGGCCAATAGCAGTCAAACCTTGACCGACGCTGTCGCGCAGTACCGTCTGCAATATAACCAACATCCGCCACCGTAGGTTCAATTTTCTAGTCCTTGATGCATGCCTCAACTGACGTTGAACTAGGAACTTCGACAAATGGTACGAATTCGCCATGAACAAATCCTCCCTGGTTATCGATGATTTCGATGAGATCCACAACAACTTGCTTCCGTTCCGTTCCGTACCCCCGGCAGCAATCCGAGAGATGACGCAGAAACTAGCCACAAACCCATACAATGAAATTGGCGCTATCAGCATCCGCAATGGCACGGCCAGAGTTCAGGAGGGCATCAAGCCTACCCATGCTTGGATGGTCATTAGTGCCGCCAAGATGATCGCGAAATTCGCCGAACACCTGCCAGACATGGATCTGGCCTTCAACCTGAACGATGAGCCCCGGGTGGCTGTACCTTGGGAGAAAATGAGCGCTCTCAAAGACCAAGCCCTTTCATACCCCGTGCTACAAGACGAACGCATATTGAATGAATGGTCAACCGGCCGTAGCGACCAATGGCTGCCGATTGAGCCGGCTGATCAAACGCACGACACTATGTTCGTTGACAATTCGTTCAAGAATATCTTCGACCGCTACGTGAGCGCGACTTGTCCGCCATCTTCCAAGGCACGCTCTCAACGCATATGGGACCGCCGTCATCTCTGCATTAGCTGTGTTCGACCACACTCCCTGGGCGAGTTTCCATCCGACTGGGCCCTGGCGACTGATATCTGCCACCAGCCGGACTTGGCGCACCTTCACGGCTTCTTCATGTCACCAGCCTCTTTCAAGGTCTCACAAGAACTTCTTCCAGTCTTCAGCCAGAGCGCGATTGCTGGGTTTGGCGACATCATATTCCCAAGTCCGTGGAATTACGTCGACAAGATTGAATATAAACCGTCGACGGACTATCCGGACGCCAATTATACTGACAAGTCAAACACCTTGTTCTGGATTGGCAGTACCTCCGAAGGTATCAGCCACTCAGGCGAATGGAAAGGCATGCCGCGGCAACGCCTCACCCACCTGATCAATAACAACACGCACAATCATGTCTCCGTCTTCCTGCCCACAGCGGGCAACACCACCGACTCGTACCGCTACCAGATCCTCCCTGGCACCTCTCCGTCTTCCTCCCTCCACCTCGACACAGCTGTCCAAATTCTCGACCCGATTGTCCGCTGCAGGCACCAAGACTGCGAGGATCAGACTGCCGAATTCGGTTTGGCGGGCCGAGTGGACTTTCAAGCTCACTGGCAGAACCGGTATCTCTTCGACGCCGACGGCGCCGGCTTCAGCGGCCGTTTCCTTCCTTTCATGCAGAGCCACAGCCTCCCCTTCAAGACGGGGCTGTTCCGCCAATGGTTCGAAACGCGCATCACCCCTTGGCTACACTTCGTGCCTGTAGATGTCCGCCTTCACGGCCTGTGGAGTACTCTGGCATATTTCTCGGGCGTCGAATCTAGCGACCACTCTTCCACTCCTGAGAAGAGGGCCCTCCTCAAGCCCCACGATATCGAAGGTCAATGGATCGCAGAGGAAGGCCGCAAGTGGGCGGCGCAAGTGCTGCGGAAGGAGGATATGGAAGTCTACTTCTTTAGGCTTCTGTTAGAATGGGGGCGGCTGACGGACGATCGACGAGAGGAGTTGGGCTACAAGCTATAATTATAGGTATGGCCTCCCGTGAGTGAGGGTCATAGGCTATCTCTCATCTACCCTATTTTGATGATAATGATGCAGTCTGGTGGGAGGAGGAGGCGACGGACATGTGTAATGACTATACTATCTATTGTAACTTTGTGTGTTGATTGCTGTTTGATTTACCTCTTCGACTGGAATATATTCTAATTCTTACTTCTTGTGAAGACTTCTTATTGAGGTGTGAGATCTTTTGACGCTGATGGGGTGATAATTTGACTCGTTTGCCATACGCTTGCTTGCAATAACTTGTAAAACATGTTTCCTACCTAATTAAAAACACCATGGGCAATGCTACTGAGGTGAATGCACCCGTACATGGGGGGGATTAATTTACAACTCGTCATGTTCGGCGGCGACCACGGGCTTCTCATCTTCCAAGGTCTCCTCCACGATCACCCCCTCGGGCAACTTCTGCTTGGACCCCTCCCCGAGCCGGATGGCATCCACCCACGTGTCGACGCGCTCGACGCTGTAATCCGCCTCAGCGGGATCGTACTTTCTCCACCATCCCCGCCGGCCGTTAACAGCCACAATCTCCAGGTCCGGTTCGGCCAGCGCCAGCGCCGCGCGCAGGGCCTTGGCCGCGCCGTTGGTGGCTGGGACACCGTACAGCGGGAACAGTTTGCTCTTGTGGAGGGCGTGCTTGTGCGCCACCTCAGCCAAACTGGCCAACGCGACTTGCGCCGCCGAGCTCTCCGGCTCGGGTTCAGTCTGTTCTTGTTGTTGTTCTTCCGGAAGAAGGGCCAACACACACGTGCCGGACTTGGGCGCCAGACAGGCGGCGGCAAGGGCCTCCGGGGTTGTCAGGAGTTCGATCGGCGGCGCGGGAACGGGTGCCGTAGGGGCCGGCTTGGGCGACTCCTCCTCTGCCTTGGCGTCGTCGGGCTGGGCGGCCTGCTTCTCTTCTTTGTCGGCCTTCTTCTTCTTGGGAGAAGGAACCGGAGCAGGATCGGGGTTCGGCGCGGCGACCTGGCTCAGGAACGCCACGAGCGGCGCCTTCTTCAGCTCCCCGTCGTAGACGATGGCATCCTGCTCGGTTCCGCCGGCGGGCACCAGCACGATCGTCGGGAACTCCGTGACCCCGAACCGCTCCACGGCCGCCGTCTCCTTGCTGCGCACCTGGGCGACCTGAACCGCGCCCAGGAAGTCGATGGCCAACGCGCGGATCAACGCGCTGGTGGTGCCTTTCTCCGTGAAGAGGATCGCTTTGGGCGTCGTCGCTGCGTCACCGTTCGCGGAAGCGAGCCAGTCATCGAGATCTTTGTCGGTCAGACGGCGCACGTGGTTCGGGATGCGGTCGACGACGGCCTCCACGATGGCCTTGGCGGTGCGCGCGCCCTGGTAGTCCTCCACGCGCGGCTTGCCGGGCTTCTTGCCGGGGGTCACGATCTTCAGGGTCGGGAAGCCGCGCACGCCCATCTGGCCGCAGATCGGCTTGTTGGCGTCCTCATCGCAGTTGATGGCGGCCACCTTGGCCAGGCCGTCGAGGTTCTTGGCGGCTTTTTCGTAGGCGGGTTTCAGATTTTGGCAGTGGCCGCACCAGGGGGCGTAGAATCTGGAGGTTTTGCGGGGGGTGGTGTTTAGAAAGGCGGATTGTTGCCGGGGGGGGGGGGGAGGGTAGTGGTTGAGGGGATGGGCGGAGAGGAGGAGGGTTGGCTTACTCTACAATCTGTTGGTTGGTGGGAGATGTGTTAGTTTGGGGTTTGATGTGGTCAGTGAGGTTCGCGATGGAAGCTTACCGATGTGTGGTTCGATTGGGCAATGAGTTGGTCGTAGTTCTTGGATGTCACCTGCAGCACAGGAGATTTCTTCGTGTACAGTCCATCGGCTTGGACGGGCAAAGCCGCCAGCAGCGACGCGGCGAGGAAAACAGCCGAGCTGGGCGGAAGCATTGTGAGGTGGTGTTGTTGTCTGGACTACCAGACTGGATGAATGACACGAGTTCAGTTCAGTACTCTAGTAGATGTACTGCATGACAGTCAACGTGGAAGAAGAGAAGAAGAAGAAGAAGGAGAAGGAAGATTGAAGCAAGGTGTCCTGAAGCTCTTGGCATGTGACATTGACTTGGATTAATTGGTTGATTTTCCATGTATGTATACAGGCAGTGGTTTCTTTCCACCGCCTCTGTATCTGGAAAGTTCGACCGGCAGAATTATTAAATAGCTCTCTTGATCAAGCAGGCGGTGAAGGGCTACTGTCATCCCGCATCCTCGCGAGTCTCCGTATCTCCGAAGTAAACGACGACCACCCATCACCACCCAAACCAACCAGCTACCAACAAACAACTTGCCTTGCAGGTTCAAATGCACTCTTCCCCGCTCTTGCATCCTTGCATAACGCTTCCATGGCTAGCTAAATGTGGACCTTATTTGAGCGTAGCTCAATCATTGTCTCATTACCATAGCCTCAACATCTTCGTGTTTCCATGATCACACGACATCTCTTAACCCCGCAAAAAGTGCCCGTCAAACCATGTCTGCAGCAGCTATGGAGCACGAGGGCACCACGACGACCCTGACAGCTCTACCCCGGGAAATCTTCTGGATGATCTTCAATCAGCTTTCGCCGAAAGACATCATCACTTGTCGTCGGGTCTGCAAACTATGGAACCAGGCTTTCATCAGTCCTCTGTACCTCATCCCGCTGCTGAGACAGCTCTTCCCCCGAGCTCGAGAGGTGCGGGAGCTCGACCACGAGACGGACACGGACGATTCGCCGCCCGCAGCCGCAGAGGACGATCATTGGCGCAAACTCTTCGACCGGGTTGCGTCTCGATACGACCATCTGCGTCGCGGCCAGCCCCAATCCGTGCAGAAGTACAGATTGTGTGATGACTTTGGCGTCACGGGCGAGCGCGAATGGTTCCCAGTCCAGCCGTGGGAGACCCACGCCAGCCAGCTCGTGCAGCGCGTGGACTGCCTGTTCTCTGAGTCTTTCTGGTCCTACGAGGAAGGCGTGGTGGTGTACCCGAGTGCGGACCATGCCTGCTTGGTCCTCATGGACCTGGACACGAGCCGTCGGTTCATGGTGCCCTTCATCATTACCGGCAAGGTCATCCGGCGCCTCCGGCTGCAGAGGCGGGTGCTGGTGGTGGAATGGGCCGAGCCCAAGGCCTTCCACTGGCTCAATGACAGTGACGGCGTGCATCGGCATTTTGCCTCCTCGTTCGACGTGACCCAGTCGCCGTCGACCGGCACATGGAGCATCACCTTCCGCAACGAGTGGAAGATCATGTTCCTCGGCCATCCACTGAGTGAGAGAGACCGGTTCTACTCGACCCACAGCAAGACGCATTATGCGATCTACATCTGGCAGCCCAACCGCAGCCTGTACACGGCCGACGACGATGCCCCGATCGAGTCGCTCTCGGTCTGGGACATCTCCGCCCCGTCGTCGTACCGGCCCTCCCTGGATCCTACGGGTCGTCTGCGCGAGGAGGCCGAGGACCAAGGGCCCCCGATCGTCTCTCGGTTCGGCTTCAGAGAGCTGGGCTTCTATTCCGTGCGACAACGAGGCCTTCCGGGCGTGCAGTGTCTGAATATCACGGACGATGATCATTCGATAGAAATTGTCGAGAGTCGATGTCCAGAGCCGCAGGTGCGTAGGGGTCCAGCGGATTGGATCACGGAGGTGCGGGTGACTACGATCCCCCTGGTTGGAGATGGCCCTGCTTGGAGACGAGCGGTGGATGTCGCCCTGCCCCCTTATCGCGGCAACTGTAGCTTGCAGACGGGCCCCCTCAGGTCCTCTCCATGGAATGAGCCATTCTATGCCATTGTCTCGGAAGCGTACGATGACAAAGCCCAAGTAGGGTATTGTCTATATATGTCTTCGATCCGGTGGCCGTTCGACATGCGGATGCTTCTGAGCATTCAAACCCCTACTTCACACACCAGACTCATGCAGGATGAGGCATTTGAGCTCACCGGCAGAGGGAAGATCTACGGGAACGAGAGGTACATTGTTGGTGAGAATGGGAATCGTGAACTGGTCGTATTCAGATTTGATAGATAGATTGATTAGGAGTTCGCGAAAAAGGGAAAAAAAAAAAACCGGTACCATATCAAGAATTACATGCAACATCCCTCTCTCTCCCGTTATTTCAGCCCATTAACTGTTCACCATCATAAGATCCCGTCCCAGGCAACAACAGACTACGATCACGATCTAAGCCGCGGGCGCCGTAAACTTGCACGCCACGCACGCCTCCAGCCCGCAACCGGGGCAGGTGAGCGTAAAGATCGGCTCCCACTGCCCGCAAATCTTGCACTCCGCCTGCCCATAGGCTTTGTCCCAGTACCCCAGATGGCGGCATTCATGGCCCTCGTTGCACCCACGCGTCGCCGCATCCCGGAACGTCCGCCGCACGCCTTCCATCCACCCGCAGAAGGTCTCCAGGATGATCCCGCGGCATTCCACGACTATGTCGTCCGGGGTGTACTGGCCGTCGCTTCGGTTGAGCTTGGACTCGAAGTAGGGGAGCAGCGGCGTGAGGTAGGCGCTGAGGCCGTGTGGGGGTGCTGCGATGATGGTGGTGGGCCTGGTGAGGGAGTCGGTGGAAATGGCGAGGTCTTCGTACGCGGTCACGAAGTCGGAGTCGGATTGCTCTGCGGCGGCTGGGTGCTCGGTTTTGGGCTCGTGGAAGTGGTAGTAGGTTGCGGAGTGGGAGTTGGTTTCGGAGGGGGTGTCGATGTAGCCATTGGGGCTGGTTGAGGTCTTTGGTGGGGTTTGGGGGTGATCGTGATCGTGATCGTGACCGTGATCGTCGTGGTTCGTGTGTGGGTTGTGGTTGTGGACTGTCGAGTCGTCTTTAACGGAGTCGTCTTCCAAGTCTTCTCCTTCGCCACCATCGACTTCATCTCCCTCGGAGTCGTTATCTTCGTCGTCTGTGTCTTCGTTGTCATCTTCATCGTCGTCGTCGGTTGTGCTGTCCTTGGAGAACTTGTCTGGCAAGCTCATGCCCCAGGGCATCTGGCCAGGATACCGGAGCCAGTCCTCTTCATCGTCTGCGATACCCTCGACCCTTCCACACATGCAAACTTCTTTCCGCTTCGGGCCAATATCCTCTTTGCAGAACATTTCGTGGAAGACTTCGGCCCCGGGGGTTCCATACTATTCAAACTTAGTATGGCCCTCAAGACTGCTCTAGAACCATGAGAAGCTGGCTAGACTCACACATTCATCGTTCTCCTTCCAGTCAGCGTCTTTTTGTCCTTGCGTACAGCCTGGCTGTCCTTCCAGATCCACCTTCTCATTGCCTTCTCCCAGATCATTGTCCGCTTTATCAGTTGCCTGCAAGTTCTCGTCGTCAACCAAGTCTACTAGATCGGCTGATTGATGGTGGTCTTCAGGCACGACTTCGGTTGCAGATCCGGTGCTTCCTTTGCTGGCCACAGTGGGCATCTTCGCGTGGTCATTGGCATCGTCTTCGAGATCAATCAGATTACCCATGGAGGTGCTTTCCTCCTGTCCATCGGATTCACCCTCTGATAGGTTGTCAGCACTGCCTTCTTCGTCAGACTGCTCCTCCTCGCTGTCTTTCTCGTCTTCCCTTTCCTCTTCGTCGTCGTCGTCGTCGTCGTCGTCCTCCTCATCCTCTCCCTCCTCATCATATTCCTCCTTGAAATCCCTTTCAGACTTCTCCTTGTTCGCATCCTCAACTTCCTCCTCCTGTTGCCGCCCCCAAGAATACTTCATAGACCTCCAGCTCGCATCCGGATCCAACAGACTAGCTATCAACTTGGCGTGCCTCTCCTCCTGAGCCAGATCCTTAGCCTGCTTCTCCTCCGACCAATAAGCCGTCTTATCCGAATACCCAATCCAAGTCTCCTCCTTTTCGTGTTCTTCCTCAGTCATCTCTCCCTCCTCCACCCCCTTCCCCTTCCCCTTTACCTGCTTCTTCCTCTTCTTATCCTTCTTCCTCGTCACCACAAACCCACTCTCATCATAATACCCCATCGGCTCCTCCGACGAAGAAGACCAAGAACTCAACTCATCATCCACCACACGGGCCCGGTCCCGGTCATATCCCACCCCTTCCCCATCTCCCCCCTCCTGAAATAACTCCGCAGCAGCCGCAGCAGCCGCAGCAGCAGCCTCCTCCGCCTCCCGAGCCTCCGCCTCCCGAGCCTCCTGCTCCCGCTCCCGCTCCAGCTGCTCACTGTACTCCCGGTCCCGACGCATCTGCTCCATGATTTCAATGGACTCCGGCGCCGTAGGATCCATATGCACGCTGTGGCGATAGGAAGCCTCGTACCGGCTCTGGCTGTATGAGTCGTCGGCACGATGCTGGTGGTGGTGGTGGTGGTGGCGGTGGTAGCTGCGGCGGAAGAAGGCCCCGGCGTCTGCGGTGGTATGGAGGTTGTACTTCAGATTGCGGCAACGGTGTTCGTCGAGGGCGGCATCGTGGGCGACGCGGTGGTTGGGGTCGCGGAGGGTTTCGACGGCGTAGAGGATCTGTTTTAGTGGTTTCCGTACGTATCAGTCTTGGAGATTACCGTTGGATGATGCTTCTGTGAAGGGTAAACGAGAGAGAAGTGAGGGGATGTGATATATAGAAGAGTGGGGTTTGGAAGGGGATTCAAGTAATGTGAAAGCGTGTGGGTTTGCGTTGGTGTTTTGTATTTGGTGTAAATAGAACAGCTGCACCTGCACTCACCTTCTGGAACGTCTCCGCGTCACTTCCCTCGGTCTTGTCCGGGTGATACCTCAGCGCGAGCCGCTTGTAGGCGCTGTTGATCTCTTTGAGGTCGGCGTGCGGGTGGATGTTGAGGGTTGCGTAGCAGTCGATGAAGGTGGAGGAGGAGGAGGAGGAGGAGGAGGAAGAAGTTGGGGTCGTCATTCTGCCCGTCGGATGTGCTGGTGGTTGCGGTGCATGCGTTCTTGTGTGGTGTGGTGGGCTGGTGTTTGGTTGGGGGATTCGAGAGGTGAGGGTGTGGGCTTGCAGTAGAGTAGCAGTATTCGGAGGAAGAGGAGATGAGGTGAAGGCTTGCGGTGAAGAGGGTAGTGGAATCAAGAGATGTCAAGGTGTTGGGGGTGGTTGCGATGGAGATGTGTGGTTGTGATGGTTGCTGTGGTTGACTGTTTGCGTTTGTTTTATTGATGTACTCGATAAGGTACCTAGATAGATTAGGTGGGTGATGGAGACTGGGAGACAGGTGGTAAGTGGAGGATTGGTAGAGGAAGGAGAAAGGCAGGAGACTGCTCTTATAAGGTCGAGTCCTGAGAGTAATGGGAGTGAATGGGAAGTCCTGAGTACACTCGTAGAGGATGCAGATATCTTGGATATTGATAAGGTTGTGGACGCATTCACACTTGCGAACTGCGACAGATGGACAGAAGCTGCCTATGAACAGTTACCTCGATTGTGAATTGATATCATATTGAATATTCAGTACAGATGCAGCACAGCGTGCAGTGTGTATATAAACAAGATAATAGATACCCGAAGTGAATTCAAGGCTTCAGCATTGTACTCACCCTGACAGTGTCATTACAATGACAGCATTGCACTGTTTCAAGAGATCAGATTCTGGATAGGATGGTTGATTCACTTCGTTCATCTCACTGGACAAAGATAAGATAGGATAGATTTTACAGGCTGGAAAGCATCTAGGTATTTATGAGTAAGTCTACACACATGGTGACTCCTCCCCACAAAAGCTTCAGAAAAGCTTTTACATGTCCGCACTGGCGGTGGCACCAGTGATAATCTCGACCAGCTCGTTGGTAATGGCGGCTTGACGCTGACGGTTGTACAGAATCTGGAACCTGCAATGCATTAGCGTCGTTTCCACGACGGACGACGGCGGAACTTACTTGTTGATCATCTCACCGGCGTTCTTGGAGGCGTTCTCCATGGCATTGCGGCGGGCCTTGTATCTGGTTAGCATCCATTCATGGGGTGATGATTCAGTCAAGGCGACTCACAGAGATCTCGCAGGCGTGACCCTCGGCAAGAGCCCAGAACAAGCTGTTGGCAAGAGCGTACTCGCGGAGGTTGGTCAGGGTCTCCTCATCGGTCTCGTAGGCAGAGAGGTTGGCTGTAAAGATCATTCAGCATGTATTTCACGTGGGTGCAGAAACGGCTCCAACTCACGGGACTGAGTGATAGCCTCCTCCGAGAAAGCCTCGACGGTGGCGGGCTCGTAGCTCTGAGCGTTCAGGAACTTGTTGTAGATGATCTTGACGCTGGCGTAGTCCTCGGGGAGCAGAGAGATCTGGTCGGCGATGGCCTGAGCATCGGCGAAGGTGGGGACGTCCTTGCAGACGTTGGCGAAGCTCAGGACGATGGCGTTGGCGTTGGTACGGGACAGCTGAGCCTTGGCCTTCTCACCGAGGACGACAATGTCGGCGTTGGGAGTCTGCTGGAGCATACGGCGAGTGGCCTTGCTGAGACCGGAGTGGATACCACCGCAAAGACCCTTGTCGGAGCTGGCGATGACGAACAGAGTCTTCTTGTCCTCGAGGGGCTTGGTCTCAGCCTGCTCGAAAACGGTGTTGGAGGTCTGACCGTAGCTGCGGGACTCCTCCATGGCCTTCTGGGCGCGGGTCAGACGGGTGGAGGCGATGACCTTCATGGTGTTGGTGATCTTCTCGATGTTCTTGATGGACTTGAGACGGCCCTCGATTTCACGCAGAGTCGCGAAGTTGGCGGCGTTGGGAGGAGCAGTGCTTTCGGATAAATCAGCCATTGAACCATATCATCGACTCAAGCTCTTCGAATCTTTCCAGGTCGATTGATATTGGCAAGCCATTGGCGAATTAATGCACAATGGCAGCATGCTGTGGGCGTGGGTGTGGGTGTGGATGTGGATGTGGGTTGTGTGGATGGCCCGGACTGAGGGAACTTACCGGGAGACCGCAATGCTACCAGCGCGAACGGCCGGACGAACAGCACGGGAGAACATCTTGAATGTGAAGAGAACCGTACGGTCGGATCTGAGACCAACGATATAGCAGTTGTGGGAGGGGGGAGGGTGGGGAGGGGAGGAGGGTAGAGAATCCTCTTTTGGGGCTGGCGGATGAGAAGTCGGTGGTTTGAACTTGGGACTCCTGTTTCTGTTCTTCCGACAGCCGGCCAGCACGGGATTCCAGGTCACGCTAGTCCGGATTGGGGAGATGCTGATAGTTCAAGGTTGCAGTGCCCAGTGTGGGTGATTCGGGTTGGCAGGAGGGACCTACAATGCAATTGCCGTCAACACAACAAAAACAGTCAGGTGACTTTGCCACGCCGAACCATCCAGGCAGTTTCGGAGCCTCGGGCATCCACAGCTCTCGCCGGCGCAAATGAATTGGAATCGTCATCCAGAGTGGGGAATCGGTTCCTCAGGCCACTGATTTTCTTGCCGCTTCTCGCGCTGGGAGTGGCTGAACGGTCCGGAGAAACGTGAAAGTCAAACTGACTGACTGGCTGACTGACTCTACCTAGTATGGTCTGGAAGTACTCCGTACTGCTACAGTGGTTAATTCTTACTAACGACTAGGTAACTCATCGCCTCAGGCCCCAAACCCGGGACGGCCTCGTTTTCCATTCCATTCCAGGTTCTCGCCTCGCTCTCTCGCTCTCGTCTCTTCTCTCTCTCTCTTCTCTCTTTCTTTCTTTCTTCCTTCAATCTTTTTCCCTCTCAGCTTGTCATCTCTCCTGCCTCTTTCTTCCCCTTCTTTTCAGCTTGCCCATCCTCCATTGTCTGTTGCCCTCCTCTCCCTTTCCTCTGGTTTTCTCTCCCTCTTCCCTTCTCAGTCTTCCTTTTGGCTCCTCTCTTGTCCTTAGCGTCCTTCGTCCATGTATCTTCCTCCTTTGTGACGCTTCGTCCTCTGGTAGCTCTCTCATTGGCCAGGCGTTCATTGATCGCATCCCTCTGTCAAGCGCCTCTTCCATTCGCCAACTTCCGCGGTTCAATCTCACACCCTTTGAGTTCTGTTTCCCGGATTGCCTCGTACCGGGCTTCTAGCTCTCAGCGCTTCTACCATCCCCGTCGCCTTGCAAATATGAGCTCTTCGGACGATGACACCCCACTCGTCCGCGCCAATGGTCGCCATGCGGGTGAGTTTCAGTCATTGAGCATACATGCTCTCGCGCTCTGTTCTCGCTCCATGTTTTGCTCAGTCCTCAATTCTCCCTTCTTATTGAGTGACATTTGCCTCAATGCGCCTACCCACCCTTCACCCCAACGTCATTACTTCTTCACTTCTACCTTCTATTGATCACTCCAGTATATCGACTAACTTGACATGGGGGCGGTGCGACAGAGACGAACGGCCATGTTGACCCTGGAGTATCAATTCGGTTCGGTCCGGTGAAATCCGATCGTGATGTTGAGATGGCGGATGCGGATGCTCAAGCCGGCGCCATTTCGAAGAGGAAGTCGCGCAACAGTGTTGGTCAAATCAAGTCATATGCTGAGCCGGAAAGCAGCGAGGAGGATCAACCTTTGGTACGCCACACCTACAGTCGCCACTCACAATCTATTCGTTTTGGTCTCAATGTTCCATGTTCAACGTCGGTTACGAATCCAGTCAATCGGCTGACTTTTCGATAGAGCAAGCGTCGCCGCACGTCTGTTAAGCACGAGGACCCTGAGACGGATGATGATGTGCCTCTGGCGCTCAACGGTCGCAAACTCCCGAAGGCTTCCGAAACCGCCATCGGAGATGAATCGGACTCGGATGTTCCCATCGAGAGGAAGCTCGCGGCCGAGAAAAAACGGATTCAAGTGAAAGGCGAGAAAGAAGCCAAGCCCAGCCGCAGCACGGCTACTCTGAAGAGCACCAAGGCAACAGCGGCTAAGAAGCAAACCAATGGTGTGAAGAAGGAGCTCGAGGACGCGAAGCCCAGTATTGTGAAAAAGACAGCCAAACACGCCAGAGCTCCAGAGAAGGCCGTTACCACCGTCAAGCGAGGAGCCGCGGCCGGCAAGGCTACTCCTGCGAAAGCCTCTGCCGCAAAAGCAACCCCCAAAGCAACCCCCGTGAAAAAGGAAGAAAGCGAAGAAGCTGAGGACGCCGACGAGGAGGAGGAATATAAGTGGTGGGAGGATCCGACCAAGGGCGACGGCACGATCAAGTGGACTACGCTCGAACACAATGGCGTTGTCTTCCCTCCTCCTTATGAACCTCTTCCTAAAAATGTTAAAATGAAATATGACGGCATTCCCGTCAATCTTCATCCTGACGCGGAAGAGGTCGCCGGTTTCTTTGGCAGTATGTTGAACTCAACTCACCACGTCGAAAACCCCACTTTCCAGAAGAATTTCTTCATGGATTTCCGGGACATTCTCAAGAAGACTGGGGGCGCAACGGACTCCAAAGGCAACAAGGTCGATATCAAGGAGTTCTCTAAGTGTGATTTTCAACCCATTTTCGCATACTATGACATGAAGCGCCTCGAGAAGAAGAACTTGCCTCCTGCCGAGAAGAAGCGCTTAAAAGCCGAGAAAGATGAACAAGAAGCTCCTTACATGTACTGCATGTGGGATGGTCGCAAGCAGAAAGTCGGCAATTTCCGAGTCGAACCCCCGGCCTTGTTCCGTGGTCGTGGTGAACATCCCAAGACCGGCCGTGTCAAGGCTCGAGTTCTGCCGGAGCAGATTACAATCAACATCGGGAAAAACGCCCCCGTTCCTCCACCACCGGAAGGCCACAGTTGGAAGGAGGTGAAGAATGACCAAGAAGGCACATGGCTTGCCATGTGGCAAGAGAACATCAACGGCAATTACAAGTACGTCATGCTTGCTGCCAATTCCGATGTCAAGGGCCAGAGTGATTATAAGAAATTCGAAAAGGCTCGTGAATTGAAGCACCATATCGCCCGGATTCGCAAGGATTACCAAAAGAACCTCAAGCATGAGTTGATGGTCGAGCGTCAGAAGGCCACCGCCGTCTACCTCATCGATCAATTTGCCCTTCGTGCGGGTAATGAGAAGGGCGAAGACGAGGCTGAAACCGTGGGTTGTTGTTCTCTCAAGTACGAAAACGTCACTCTCAAGCCTCCGAACAAGGTTGTTTTCGATTTCCTGGGTAAAGATAGTATTCGGTTCTACGATGAAGTCGAAGTCGATGCGCAGGTTTTCAAGAACCTCAAGATCTTCAAGAAGGCGCCCAAGAAGGAGGGCGACGAGATTTTCGATCGATTGACGGTACGTTGCACTGCCCCTAGCCCACCCTAATCTTCACGACTTCTGACTTCATTAGACTTCCGCACTCAACAAGCACTTGTCGGCTTACATGCAAGGCTTGACTGCGAAAGTGTTCCGTACCTACAACGCCTCTCACACCATGTCGACGTTGCTCAAGGAGATGAAAGCAACGGGTAACATTGCGGAGAAGGTGAAGGCCTACAACGATGCCAACCGCAAGGTCGCTATTCTCTGTAACCACAAACGGACTGTTGCTGCGTCCCATGCCAACCAGATGGAGAAGATGAGCGAGCGCGTAAGCAACCCCTGCAGATACGTCACCAGAATTGCAGCTAATGTGTTCTCGGCCAAATAGATCAAGGGTCTTCGCTACCAACGTTGGCGCTTCAAGCAGCAAATGCTCAACCTTGAGCCCACGCTCAAGAAGAAGAAGGGCGCCAAGTTCTTCGAGATGGACGAGGACATGGACATGGACTGGGTCAAGGAACACCAGGCTTTCCTGCTTGAAGAACAACGGCAAAAGATTCAGAAGAAGTTCGAGAAGGACAACGAGAAGCTTGTTGCCGATGGAGAGAAAGAAATGAAGGCAAGCGAGCTGAATTCTCGTCTGGAGGTCGTTAAGGACATGGAGAAGAGGTTCAACAAGGAGAACAAGACTGGCAAGGTGGAAGCCGAAGGCAAGGCTCCCACTGTTGAGAAGCTCGAGACCGCCATCAAGAAGCTCGAGCAGCGTATTGAAACGATGGAGCTCCAAGCTCAAGACAAGGAGGACAATAAGGAAGTTGCCCTGGGTACTTCGAAGATTGTGAGTCTTTCTCCGGTCTTCTCTGCCAGTCGATCCGTCATTCATACTTACCTGCATTTAGAACTATATCGACCCCCGTCTCACCGTCGTCTTCAGCAAGAAGTTCGACGTCCCCATCGAGAAGTTCTTCTCCAAGGCCCTTCGTGAGAAGTTCGAATGGGCCATCAAATCCGTTGACGAGACCTGGGAATTTTGATTTGGTTGTTCCTTGTTATATCGTGCTCGAAACTTGGATACATACTTCTTCTTATGGTTAAAGACTTCTTTCATGCTGCCTTAACTATCCATACTTTTTTTCCACCTTTCCTGACCTTTCTCCTGTTTTCCTTCTCAACACGCGTGACTTATCGGAAACCAATGCATGCCATGCCCCCCCCCCCCCCCCAATACATCCTTTGATTGCATTTCTTGGAGCCTCACGTCTTTTTCTTTTCTCTGCCTCTGATTTCATCTATCTATTTCTTTCTACTGAGAACCTTAGAAAAGCAAGATTGAATATTGCAGGGAAAAAAAAGAAAAAAAAAGAACAAGAAGGGGTTGAATGGAAACAACCGCTATACGGAGCGGGGCTGGATGGAGCGAGACATACAGTGACAAGATCATAAGATTCATACAAACATTACTTTTATGTGGTACGATTAGTATAGGAACGATATCCTGGTTCAGTATACGTCAGATGGCTTTACTTTTCTTTTCGCATGTCACCTTGGGATATCCCAATGACGATCCGTGGGATAGATGTACAGACCATGTGATGAGTGTTTCAAATCTTCCAGTTTTAATTCTATACACAGTCTAGAAGCAGCGTTCATGGACGGATAACCGGAAGGAATGTAATTCTCTGGTATATTACTTTTTTCTCTCATGTGGATATCTGTCCCCAATGGTTTCGATAAAATTACATAGACTCAGACCGAGAAGGAAACGAAAAGTAGACATTTGCATGCTCACAGCAATTATCACACATGGATTTGAACCACGCCCGCGTGCGATGTGCCGACCTGGCCTTTCTATCCGAAAAGATAAATATCATTTTTGATGCGCAACAAAACATCATTGAGTCCCGTTCATGCCTCATCGATGCGAAGGAGTATGGAGAGATCACAAGAGATAAATGAAGAAATACAACCCCTGAAGGTGGGAGGAAAATGGGGGCTGAAATAGCTGAAATCCATATCCAAGATGGTGTGCAGCAAAGAAGTAAAGTACAGAAAACGACTGTAGAATCACGAGGTATCAGCATTCTCAAAACAGGCTCAGCCTATCGAGATGCAGCGCGGCAGAAGAAAAACTAGCTGTGTAGATGCAGGTCATGATCAGAACATGGAGACTTGTGGAACAGCGGACAGGGAATACTCCAAACACCAACTGACAAGAAAGTCAAGAATATAGTAGTACATACCAATCGCTCGATAACAGGAACCCAGAGTGTCCCAAGCATGAGATAATAATATTACAAGCACAAGATCCGTGATTTCCATATCGTACAGTCTCCGTACTGAAAGCGAAGGGAATTCAATGTGAGAACGAGGTCTAGGTGCTTTTATGAGATTGGCGGGTCGAGTGAAGTCGATCTGACCTGGTGCAAGGCCGTAGTGGTTCACGGTCGGGGTATCAGAGCACACGCGATGGGTTCGTCCGAATCGATCGCGATGACACTTGTGCGTATCATGTTTAGAAAGTGGTGGTCAGTAAGGAGATTCGCGTCGACCAATTTAAGGCCACCAGCCCATTCGTTTGTAGCTTTCAACCATGGCCCGAACAGCATCAGCATCGAAGCGCTCACGAGTAGGCTTCCATCCTGTGGTCTTCTCAAACAATGTGCCATCGATGGACATGTCCTGGTCCCTGAGAACATCCCGCTCCAGGAAAGGGCTGATAGGTCCTGGTCTTTCTATTTTCTTCTCTTCAAGCAGGTCGGCCCAGCCCTGTAGGCACTCCTCGTTCATATCATCCACAACATCGTCCAGGTTCATCTTGGCAAATTGAGATGCCAAAGAACCGAGGAACTCGACCTTCATGCCGAACACCTCCGATAGAGCATCTGCTACGTGCTCCTGGCGAGTGTCACCATGGTCGACCACGTTGAAAGCAATGGGGGCCGAGCCATCCGTCGGAGCGCCTGCCCTCCATTCTGCTGCTTTCCAGAGCGCACCTGCTGCATCTTTGATGTAAATTGTGTTGATCTTCAAGTCCTTCGTATACAGAAGTTCCAAGTTCTTCTGCAATTCCAAGTGGACTCGCGCAAGGCAGATACCCATCGCAAAATAACCGGAATCATACTCGCCGTAAACGTGTGGCAACCGAAGCAAGCAGTAGTGAAGGTTGGGGATTTTCTGCAGCTCCTCACTAGCCTTCATCTTCCACTTAGCGAGCTTGTGCCAGGGCTGCAACTTGTCGTCCTCCTTGCGCGGACTCGAGCCACCTTTGTAAACGTGTGCAGTCGAGCACTCGACGAAAGAGCGGATGCCTCGACGGGCGACTTCGCGACCGAGGGCAACGGTGAGGGCATAGCTGCGGACCTCGTAGACATCATCGGGCTGAGAATGTCGGGTTTCTCCACCACAGTTTATCACATAATCGAACTGCTCGCCATTGGCACGGTCAAAGATCCGGGGGAAGTGCTCTAGCAAAGACGCGGAGGGTCAGTAAGCGGTGGATTGTGCGCAAAAGCAAGTCAAAGCGAGTTTGTCGACTCACGTTCTCGACTGGCATCAGCTTGAACAAACTTGTCTTTCGAGCAAGCTTCTTGAAACTCAGGGGCCAACCAGGCAAGCTGAGGGAGGACTTTGTCGACTAGTCGTACTTCCGAGGCCAGGTTATTTTCGTGGATGTACAGGGCGAGATGGCGACCAACGAACCCTACAAATGCAAAGGCATGTAAGTCGAATTGTACGACATCCAGCTGGTTTCTGCACAATCAAGGGAAACCATCAAGAGGCACTCCTACCAAGACCACCAACGATCAGAACGGCGGGCTTTTTTGCCTGATCATCCGCCATGACGAGGAATGTGACAAGGAGCGAGCTAAGTTATACGATATGAGACAGAAGAAGAGGAGCTTCAGCTTTGTTCAGATGGTGAACTAGCTCGTGTTAAGATGGCAGTTTGTTGACAGGCACACCCCGCACCCGAGCGCGTACCAGTCGATGGAAGAATGCGGGGAGGAAAAGGGGGCGGAAGAGACGCAGGGGAGAGTTAAATGCGAAGAAG